TATATATAAAATTACTAATTTTTTTTTAAAGATATGTTACAAATAAAATAACATTATGAATTTTTGTTTCAACCTAATACTAATTGTACAAATTGTATATCATCTAAAAATTTTCGTTTTAAATCCAAATGATCTGTTGTTGTAGTCGAGGTTGATATTTTATGTATTTTAAATAGTTGAAGTATAAATCATTAAATATTGAAATACTAATTACATGTCATATAAATGTATTATGTATTATTTAATTTATTATAATATTCTATCAATTATCACGAGCGTGCATTTATTTATGATTTCTTCGATTAGTTAACGAAGACGTTTTTTCTTATAAAATAAAATTATTGCTTTCACATCATTATCTTTGGAATATTACGAAGATGATCTCTTCGAATGTATGTGCATAACTCGATTATTATTCGCAGATTTTGAATTCAATAATCAACTTCCAACGGATACGTTCCAATTTGGCGGGCAGACAGGAAACACTGTAACACAATTAATATTTAGAAAAAAATAACAATGGAGGAATTCAGATGTATCACATTAAGATAAATAAAATAATTGTGTCTAATTTGTAAAAAACGTACGTTTGGTACATACTTACCTACTATTACGAATACCTTTTATTCAAAAGAATAAATAAATACATATTGCGAAAAGATTCAAGAATTTATTTGTGCAAGAAATATCCAAATACATAAAACGACGTTAGAGTATGATCAATAGCTAATGCTATGTTTTTCTTGACCATTATTACATTACAAAGTATACAAAAGATACTTACACTATAATAAATTAAACTCGGCCATTAAATCTATGCGATTAGTAAATGTATGATAGCGAAAAAAATAAATATTATTTATCTATTGTAAATATTATCTTGAGTGTATTTATGTTAGTAATTAAAGTATTGATAATTAAAGTATTGATTATATAACTGGCAAAAGTTTATATTTTTCACAAGAACTTATTTCATTGTTGCATATTTAAATCGATTTGCAAATTTGAGACAAAATTGACATAACATTTGATGAACATTTGAATTATAATTGAATTTGAGGAGAATTAGAATTCTAAAATATTTATGTAATCGTGTGTCGTTTGCAATTTTGTGAGAATTTTGTCTTTCTACGAATCTTTTTTTTATTGTATATTTTGTGTATTGAGGAAAATATGACAAAGGATAAATCATTTTAGTATATTGTATTATAATATATGCATGTTTATAAACATTTTTATCCTTTAGTGCAATTAAAATACGAAGCTTAATCACGTACACTGCAAAAATGTATTATCAAAGCATTTTTCTGTTATCTCAAATTCTAAAAATAGTCAAATTCAACATCTAATACTAAATTTTATCTGAATTATATTAATATTATATATTGTTTTAGTCTTCCGCACTCGCACGTGTTTATTATAATTATATAACAGAATAAGAATATATGGTAATAGCAATGAAATGATAAGCTATGATAATACATAAAAAATAGAAAAATTTATATAAAATAATGAATTTGTTTATCCTAATTTGGTGTTTATCCTAATTTAATTGCTATTATAACAAATTTTCTAATTGTAAAAATTTTAATTTTTCGACTCCCAAGTAGGACGAGCTGTTTCCTAAATTCATTTTATGGATGATCATTTTAGAATCATTCTACTAGATTTTTATAATCTTTTGTGAATTTTTCCACAAAGTTTTTGTAAGCGTTTATTTTGAGACAAATAAATGCATAATATATATAATTTTCAAAAAGCTTTCGAAAAGACATTATTTATTTATTTGGATAGGGGAAGAGGATGATTCCTATTCGCCTCTTTTAAAAATATTATTTTATAATTATTTTAAAGAGTTAACTTTTATTTAAAATTTAAAAAAATTAATATTAATTTAATAACATTCAATTATTTGCAGAATTGTTAACAAATATTGTTCAAGAATTATAGAGTGTACTAAAAAAACTATTACTATAATAATTATTATATTGTAATTAGAGTTTTAAAGATATTTTATTCAAATCAATAAAAATAAATGACATTGTATTATATTTTTATGCGTTGATCTGTTTATTTATTGTATTTTAATATTATTTTTAACACCATAGATATGCTATTATACAAAAAATTTTTTAAAGTCAATTTCTTGCCTCTGAGAAATCAAAGTGGGAGTCGAAAAATTAAAGCACTTAAAATATTAAGAATATAGATGAGTGGTTGGAAGGATTGGTTGCGTATTTACGATGATTGACAGTTACAAGTGATTCAGAATTGACGTTTTTAACTTATTTTCACTACATAAGTTGTAGATTAATAATTAAATTACATTCTTAATACAATAATAGAAAATCATGTATAACTGTTGTGTAAGCGTGAAAGTTTTCTAGATAAGACATAATTGTTTATTTCCACGGATTTCTAAAATTAAAAAACAATTGGAAACTCTAAATCACTTATTGTTTCTACAGGAAAAATTCGAAAATATTTAAATTTGTTTTCATAAAATTTAAAAATACAATATTTTATATATTTTATCACCAGCTATATAAGACTATCGATTATAAACTGATACATTGACTATATATGGCTGAATGTGAAAATAATTCTCTAATAACGTTTTTGAATGCAGTGAGTTTAACCCAGATCACATTAATGACGTTACATGCTCTACTTTAGTTTCTGATTATGACGAAGTCTTGGTAGTTAGGATTAACTAACTTGGATTGGATTCAAACTCGCTGCACTTGAAAACCCTATAAATATAAAAGAAATTAAAAGGAAATATTTTACATATATTATTTGCAATATATAAATTATTCTAAAAAATCGCTACTTTCTGTAAATACATGAAATAAGAATAATAACAATCATTTCAGTATGAAGAAATTAATCTTGAGATGTTTTCAAATTTTATACTACATTATAAATAATGAAATACAACAATATATTATTATAATAGTATTATAACATTTAAATAATTTACATAATATACATAAATATCATTTTATACAATCGTGTTCAAAATTTATTGATGAAGATGACAATAAACCAAATTTTATTTAAAAAAAAATTGTTCCTCTGAAGAATTTAAAAAGAACAACTTTAAAAAAAAGTGCGCGATAATTTAATACAAGGGAAGATTCTCTCGTGGTTCATAATTTTTTGATGTGTACACATAAATGTGCACTGCCATTCTGAAATATATTCGTACATACATCTTACTCTTTTTTTGAATTAAATAGACACTTTTATAGATATGTATTTCTAAGCGACCTTTCTTTTGATTCGTTGGTTCAAAGAATTATAATGTTTTTCTACTGTGAGGGTTATCGTACAGACTCAGAAGTTTTAAGACAATTCTTTAAAAGATTGAATATTTTAGATGTAATTAAATCTTCCAAGCACAAGTGATGCAGCCAAAAGAATCATTGTATGCAACGTAAAGATGGACGAGCAACCTACGAAAGATGTAAATATCTTATGCTTTAATTTTTTAATTATGTATACACATACATGAGATATTCAATTATCTCTCGTCGATAATTTTATGAGAAAAATTCCAACTTTCGTTTTGTAACAACACAAGTTTGTGATAGCAAATCTTAAATCAGCGGAAGTTACTACATCATTTTCCTATTAATTATATAGGTAAGAGATGCAGTATTTAACGAAAAAATTATCATATTTTTCCAATTTTTAACATAAACATAATTCGATATATCTTATTTATTAAACAGCAACATATATATCTATAATAAAATCATTTATAATATGTTTTATAAAATAAATATAAAACCATTATAATATATTTTATCTCTTAATAGAATATTTTATAATTTAGCCAAAATTAAAGAAAATCAGAAGAACTTCATTGAAATTAATACTTATATTTTTTTGATGTTGAAAGTTTTATTTTAATCATTATTTGCAATTTTCATAATTATTTTAGTTAAATTTTTACAAAAAATAAATTTATTTTTGAACTATATTATTAAGACAGTAATAATAAATGTTACTTTTAACTGTCTAGATTATAGTTAGATGTATATGTCGTTTCTAATATGTTAATAATAATTCTTGTAATGTAAAGAGAAATAAATCTTACCGTTACAAACATACAATGATGGAGGGTCTTCGTAAAATCCTTCTTCGCAATAACAACGTTTTCCCATTGTGCTGTTATGCATCACACAATGGGCATACTCTATGCATTCTGAATCGGAATTGCAAGATGCATGAAGTGCTAAAAAATAACATAATTTTTAATTTAAGAATTTGTATGAATGATTAAAAAACATAAAGTGTGATTTCTTCCTGTATTTCTTAATTTTTGTTTATAATTTTTTATTGATATACATCTTAAAAAATGAATACGATATACAGGGTGTCTCTTAAGATGGGTCCGAGCCACAATGGGGGTGGAGAATGGATCAAAGGGAACAAAAAATTCTTATTATACTCGCTATAGTTTTCGAATTAAAAAAGGAAATGTCTAAGCCAATATGCGATTAAGCCATGGCGCGCAGGAAGAGAAAAGTAGCGCTTCGTTGCCTAGTCTGGCATGGCGATTCTATGTGTTTCGCGCCTACACTATCCAAAATGTTATTTTAGCTGAAGTTTTCCTTATACATTTCTTATCATTATAAATTGCGTTATTAGCACGATTAAATACGTTTTAGCACAATTATAGATATGTTAAGCGATGTAATTAATTAGAGCATTACGCAAAGCGTGTGCTGGTCGTCGCGATACCTTTCCGCTTGCTTTATTATACGATGTTTCTATTTAATTACGCTTCGAGACACACTTCGTCGCACCGTTTTATGCTATATTTAGTCGGAGTTTTATTTTTTGACATGTTAATGCATGTACACTGAAATTATAGTATAAGCTCGCGTAGATAGCCACATTGTAAATCCAGATGTATTATTCCATGTACAATGAGGCATTCAGTCATCACGCGCGATCACTACAATTATCGATGCATCAAATAATCGTTTACTTAGAATCTGTAAATAATCAATTTTAAACTTAAAGCTTATTAAATTCCCTTCAAAAATAACTTATTATTTTTTTAATTCTGCCTATAGACTTCTAGCATTTAGCCAAAATGAACTCAGTATCTCATAATAGGAGCTTTTCCTCTATACATTAAACATAATGTACAATGTATGTACAATAAATATAATAATATTATATTTACAAATTTATTTTTTACCAAACCCCGATATTTATCAAATTTACGATTTATATATCATTTTATAAGATTTTAATTTAATAATATGATTATAAATGTACAGTCTATTTAATTTTTCGAACATGAATATAACTTTTAAGCATCGATCGATTCGTAATCATGATTAATCATCCTTAAAATGTTTGCTAGGCAATCATTCGCCAAAAGAAGGAAAACATGCACAGTGATCATTTAATCAAATGAAATTGCCGAGTTTCCGGATCGTTTCACGAGTCTCTAATATTACGTATCGAACTACATTGCAACAAATTGCTTCGTAC